TTTAATATAATTTAACCAAGTTTTACTTTTACCATTTAGATGTCTGTCTAAACTCTTGATTTCGTCCAGCAACCTTAACTGAGACCTATTGTAGGTTACACTGCAATAGATCATAGTTCAGCCCCTGGCCAAGGCAGATCGTAATAATTTAATTTACGGAATTTACCAGTTCGATTCTGGGAATGAATTTCATAAGATGCGTACAAATCATGTACGTTAAAGATCATGAATTTGTAGAATATGGTGATTCTGAGATATCTATAAGGTGTGATGGTAGCTATCACCAATATGGTGTAAGCTCGCTTCGTCTAGATCCATACCATCCTGACAACAGGTAGTCGTAATAGATATCCTCACCTATCGTGAACCAATTGAGTTTGGAACTGATAATGAGGGCTGGTTTGTAATGAACAAGTGCTGCATCGTCTGCAAAAGATACCCGTGAGGGTAGGTCAATGGTAGGCATTGTATAACCTGGATTGAACAATAGTCGTAGGTTATAGGTGGTTGATATTGCACTGTTTTCAATTATCGTGGTGTTTATATCACAACTAGGGTTTGGAGGTCTGGATTCGATTCTTGGGGTGATTTTGACGTATGGTGAGGCAACTATGGTATAGGCTATCATCTTAGGTTGTTCTTAACCCTCTTTCTAGTAGTTGTGATAAATAGTAATGATGGCTGGTTACCATATCTCTCTACCCTGAGGGTTCATTGGTTTGGCAGTCTACTCGGATATTGACACTCATTTACTTAGGTTTAACGCTAACCCACACTGGTTTGAAATATAGCAAAGGGGTTAATATTAGAATTAGACGTGTTGTAAGACATATCATTCTGTTGAAAGGTATGCATTCAAATATATTACCACTTGTGCGTGCCTAGTAAAAGTATCAAAAAAAAAGAAATGATTTCGACCATTTCGACCATTTCGACTTCATGTATAGTTACAATGCTTTTCAGACATTTATAAACGCTTTTTTAATGATAAAATTCCATCATTACTTTCATTACAGATTATTATGATAAATTCAGATTTAAAATGAAAGGAAAAAAGAAATCCAATAATGATACTATTATACTAGCCACAATAAAAATGTCAGAAACAAAATTATGCTATCTTCCTTTAAGTTTTAGTACTTTGTGTAAGCCAAATCCATTTTGTTATTGTGATGCAACTAAAGATGGTGTAGCAATTGATTTCAAATTTACAAATTGTTGCAACATAAGCTAAAATTAGTTGCAATATATATGGGTTAAAATTAATTGCAACGTAAGTTGCAACATTAAAAGTTGCAACATATTAATTATAGTTTCCATCTTTAGATGCAACTAATTGCTCTATTCTTTCATCCACAAATATAGATATGATTGTAATTTTAGCTTGCGGTCATATATATTATAAAATTTGTCATGAAAATAATGAATACAAGTGTCTACATTATCTTTTATTTATACAAGATGATGTTAATAAATATGTTCAGTCCTTAATAACACGATTGCAACAATTTGACAAAATGCAAGTTGAAAAAGATGATGATAATATTCCTTGTGATAACAATGATGAAAATGAATCGGTAGATTATATGAAATTAATATTAGAAGAAGCATTGCGAAATTTCAATTATAATAATATTTATAAAGGCTTTATTTAACTCAATAATTTGCTTACATTAGTCAAAAAGATTAAAATTATATAATTTTGCAAAAAAATTTTAAAAATGAATTGCTAAAACTATATAAAATATCTATTTTTTAATATTAAAATAGAACACAGACATTTAAAATAAGTAGTTAATATCAGTGTGATATTTTATACAGTTTAATATTTCGCATAAAAATATCACGTGACATATATAAATAATTACAATATCCATTATAAATCATCGTTATTATTAGCCAAAAAATTTAATGGTAATTTTTTCTTTTCAATAAATGGCTTTCGAAAAGACGATTCTGAAAGATAAGGTTCGTATCTGCTTTCAGAATCGATAAAATCCATAAGAGAAGGGAAAAGAAATATCGAACGAATATAAGTAAAAGAGAAGGAAAAAAATTGGTGAAATAAGAGCGTGTCGATAATCGAAGCAATTTTTATTGATATTGACGTCATACTTTAACAAAATTAATGCAAAACCCGCGATCAAAATTCACATGATGTATATTATACACGTGACACCGTGATGAACACCAGTAGTAAATTTATAAAAAAAAACTATTATAAATTAAATTAAATTAAATTATTTTTTTTCAGCAGCTCTTCTTTTCTTATATTCATCAATTAATTCTTCTTGAACGTATGGTAAAACCATTTGATGAGTTTTATATTCCATAGTAAATTCACCTTTACCCTGTAATATCATATAAATGAATAGATCAATAAATAATAAAAATATACTTATACATATATATAATTTACCTGTGTAGCACTTCTCAAGTCGCTAGAATAACCAAACATATTATTTAGAGAAACTTCAGCAGTAACTACAAAATAATCTTCATGTACATCAGTATCTAAAATAGTCCCTTTGCGTTTATTTAAATTTCCAATAACGGTTCCTTGAAATTCAATTGGCGATGTCACTGATACATTCATTATAGGTTCTAATATAACAGGATTTGCTTTTAAAAAAGCTTCTCGAAATGCATATTGTGCTGCTAAACGAAAAGCGTATTCGGAAGAATCTACTGCGTGATGTTGTCCATCTAAAAGAACAAATCGAACATCTTTTACTGGATGTCCAATTAATCCTCCTTTTTCTAAAGCATCATAAAATCCCTATTAAAAAAAAGTACATTAAAAAAGATTAGACAACTATTCTATAAAGTCATTGCAATTTTTTCCCCCTCAACTTTTATGAATTATATACCTTTTCGACAGCTGGTATAAATTGAGTTGGAATATGTCCACCAACAACTCGATTTTCAAAGCTAGTCAATTGTTCTTCTTCATCTTCAACAATAGGCATAGGTTCAATATATCCAACAACCTTACCATATTGTCCAGCACCACCGGTTTGTTTTTTATGAGTATAATCAAATTTGGACTTTGATGTTATAGTTTCTCGAAAAGCCACTTGTGGTTTGCCAGTTACACAATCAACATTATATTCTCTTCTCATACGTTCAATATAAATGTCTAAATGTAATTCCCCCATTCCTGATATAATAGTTTCCTTGCTTTCTAAATCATATGTTACACGAAATGTCGGATCTTCGCGCTGGAACTTATTTAATGCTTTTGAAAAATTTGGAGCATCTTTGATTTTAGGTTTAATTGCTAATGAGATCACGGGGTCTGGAACAAACATTGATGTCTAATATAATATCTGATTAGATTAAAAATGGAGGATTTTTTTTTAAAAAAAAAAAAATAATCATCTTACCATAGTATAAGCAATAGTGCCATCGGTAAATGTATCACCAGAGGAACATTCAACTCCAAACATTGCACATATTTCTCCGGCACCAACTTCATTTACATCCTATAATATTTTATATATTAATTTAGATAAATAAAAGGATAAATTTTTTGTTTATAAAATTGATATTTACCTCCATTTCATTAGAATGCATACGAACAAGCCTTGGAATCTTAACTTTCTTTAAAGTCTTGGTATTAGTCACTGTAAAACCTTTTTTTAAAGATCCTTGATAAACTCTTATATATGTCAATTGACCAAATCTCCCATCTTCCAATTTAAAAGCTAAACCCACAAAAGGATTTTTCGAATAAGGAATAAGAGGAACAACGGCTTCTTTACGATTTATATCTAAAGCACTATTTTCCACTTCAGAAGGATTAGGAAGATAAGCACACACGGCATCTAACACGCGTTGTACCCCAGTATTCTTAAATGCGGATCCCATTAAAACAGGTGTAAACTTGTTTGCAATTGTCACGCGCCTTATTGCGTCCTAAACCTCAATTATACAAAAATAAATCAGACAAAAAATTTAATAACAAATAAGACATACATCATAAAGTTTTAAATGTACCATTAATTGTTGTGAGGTAGGATTCTCTTCATTTAGATAAATTTCTGCAATTTGATCATCTATATCTGCAAGAGTTTCAATTAATTCTTGACGTTTTTTCATAGAAAATTCTATCAGATCCTCTGGAATATCTTTTTCAACCACCTTTTCACTGTTTTAATTAATTCATGTTATTATATATTATATATTTTGAAAACTAATTAAACTTTTTTTTTCCTTTACCCGCGATTTCCTTCATTATAAACAGCCTGCCATTTTACTAAATCGACAACACCTTTTAAGTTGTCTTCGAGTCCTATTGGAATTTGTACAGCAGCCGCGGTTATTCTCAATTTTTGTCGAATTTGTTCAATTATATTGAATGGATTTGCACCAACTCTGTAAAATGTTTTAAAAGTTCAAAATAGATTACCAAATTATAATATCATATAACGTAGACTTACCGATCTAATTTATTAATAAATGATATGCGAGGGACACTATATCGACGCATTTGACGATCGACGGTAATAGTTTGACTCTTTAAAATTATATAAAATAATTCTGTAAGTTATAATATATATATGTGTGTTACATAAAATAACTAACACTCACTTGAACACCTGCAACACCACATAAAACTAAAACGGCACCATCAAGAACCCTTAGTGCACGTTCAACCTCAATTGTAAAGTCAACATGTCCTATTAAAATGATTCAAATCAAATCAGAAAAGTAATTATAATGATATAATTGTTTTGTTTCTTTTATAACCTGGAGTATCAATAATGTTAATATTATAATCCCCATGATCTTGCCATTTCCAATTACAATAGGTGGCCGCAGATTGGATTGTAATACCGCGCTCTCTTTCTAATTCCATGCTATCCATTTTTGCTCCTTCACCATCTTTTCCTCGAACCTCATGTATTGCTCTTATGAACAAAATAGAAAATAAATAAATAAATCGAAAAAATATTCTGAAAATTCATTAATGAATAGTTTTTTTACTTTATTCTTCCAGTATAATAAAGAACGCGTTCAGTTAATGTTGTTTTTCCTGAGTCAATATGTGCACTTATACCTATATTACGAAGTCTTTGAAGTCGGTTCTAAATTAAAAAAAATTTTTCAATAACTGACAAGAAAAAACAGTAATTATCCAAATATTTAATTACAAATTACATACTATTTCAGCGGAGTTTACATTTTGCGAAAGGTCTGCTGGGTTCACAGTAACAACACTAACATAACGTCTTACATTAAATAATATTTTATTATTAAATGATTTAGCTAATAAACTAAACTTTCTATCAAATATTCTAAGAGATTTTCTATATGATTGTAAACGGATCATTTTCTTTATAATGAAAGTGTTTAAGAGTACTATCTATGTATAGATGATACATTTCATTTATAAAAATCAAATTTTTTTTTTTTTTTTTTTTTTTTTTTTTTTGATAAGATTATCAATGGAGATGTATGTTAATGGCAGGGATGATGATTTTCTGCGGTGATTAAGGTGTGATAAAAGTTAATTCTGTGAAATTCTGTGATTTGGCCAGAATTATGCATTTTTATAACCCTATTCTGTGATTTCCTGTGAAATTCTGTGAACACAGAAAATCATTGTCTCTGATTAATGGTAAATATGATGGTAAATTTAATGGTTAGTTTTAATTAACCGGTTAATTAACCATTAATTATAACCATTTATAAAATTTTATCAGTATTTTCTTTTAGTATTCATAGAGCAGGGACGCAAAATATACTGTAAAGGATCAACTAAACTACCCCTATACCTATGTAAACTATCCTCCAAGATTTTGGGCTGAAAACTTGTAAAAACCCGGATAGTATACATAGATATTTTTTTTGCCCTCATTATTGTTATTTCCATTCATTTCATCTAATAATTCATTTTCTTGATTTTCATCAATAAGATTTTTATAATCAATAATTGTATAACATATATCAACCAATATGAGTTTCAAATGCCTTTTTTGTGAACGAATATTCAGTCAGTCATATAGTCAACACAAAGATCATATCATCTTCTAAACCATCAGATTTAACTAAATATCATAACATTTAAATGATTTACAAATTAAAATTGTATTAACCTTTTCTCATGCAATTTTTACTTATAAAAACACCAAAGAATATGAGAACATTTCCAGTAAAATCAAGTTATGAGATATAGTAAATCATATGATTTGTAATGTGATTTTACTAGAAACATTCCTATATAGTAGTATTTTTATATGTCTAGCTGAAGATAGATTATGAACTTCATTATTATCCAATCATTATAAAGTTTACAAATCTATTAAAAATATTTTTTAATTTTTATTATAATAAATATAATAAAATAACTGATAATAGTAAATAGTTTCATTAGATTTAAATTTTTTGTTAACTGCAATATCAAAAAATTGCAATTTGATTATTAACTTTCTAAGAATTACTGCTATATTAGTATGAATTTTACACAATCTTTGTTTGACAAAATTAATTAAAAGGTCATGAAAAAAATCTAAAACAAGAATAAATTTAGGATTTAATAATTGATTAAAGATATTTTGAATCAAATATTAACAATCTACCAGATTATTTTCTTATTACTTACCTAACCTTTTTCATTAGTTCTAATGAATACACCTCTTCTCTATGTTTATTCTTCAATTTAAATATAATAACAAGTGGTAATTTTAAACTATCTGACATATAACCTAATATAACTGTAAATATATTTCTTTCATATTCTATAGTTTTAATACTAATAATATTAAAACCATTAGTATAAGAACTAGGTAAATCAAAAGAAACTGGTATTTTATCTATTGCAATATATTTAAGAAGATAATTATATTATATTCTTCTATAAAGAACAAACTTAAAAAACTCTGTTTACTTTTTAAGTAAATCTTTTGATAAATATTAAGATAGGATCCTAGATAATTATATATTAAAGTAAAGTATTACTAAATAGGAATATAGTAAAAAAATATATAAAATTTTAAATAACTTTGGGATTATATATAAGTTTTTATATAAAAATGTATATTTTTATATAAGATTTTAAAAAAAAATCTTACACTTATTTTTAAAAATTTTTATTCTATTTTTATCTGTTCATTTATTATAATATATTATTGATAATTTTATCGTTAATTATTTGAATATTTATTAAACATAAACACATATATTAAGGTAAAACATATTTTTATTTTTTAAAAATAAATATTAATATAAAAATGAATAATAATATTTTTAATGAATATTTGTTTAATATTAATATATTTTTTTCTACTATTCCTTCTCCTAATATTCAATCTGTTTAAAATTATGCTTTATTTATTAATATTTCTAATATTTTTTCTATTAATTTTAGTACATCTTATAAACTTTGCTTTTAGTAATTAATATTAATACTGCTGCTAAAAAAATTCTTCATTTATAATATTTTTGTTTAATTTCTACCAATGTTTTTCTGATTGAAATCATTTATTAAATTTCTATTTGTAATTTTTATTGTAAATTAAACTTTAGCATTATAATTTAGATTGGCTATAATTATAGAATTAATGAAATATGCAGATTTTTATCTAAGTCAAAAACTTTTTGAAGAGGATTATTATTATTCTGATGCAACTTTAAATTCAGCAAATAATTTAGGTCCAATAACATATATTTAAAAAAAAATTATTAGTGAAATTGCTTATATATTCAAATCAAATCAGTTTTATTCAATCGTTGAAATTTATGATTTAACATCAGTAATTCAATGACTAATAATATCAATATATCCACTAACTATTTCTCAATTAATAAATAGATTGTATAACAAATTAATTGAATCACAAGTAAAAGTTTATAATGAAATATATCTATAATTAGGGTTCCTCAAAATCGAATCGAATCAAATATTTAAGCAATTTGAATTTGATTTGATTTTTTCAAATCGAATCG